TTATGTATTAGTATGTAATGTACTACATTGTACGAAACTACGAACTATTATAACTATTTATTTTTCGCGAAAATGCCGAGAAAATGCTCTGTAAATGGCTGTACGGGATTATCAGAGGGAAAAAAAAATACTTTATTTAAAAGGCCAAAAGATGTGTCTGGTTTAAATGCTTGGAATGAGGCAATTTCAAATGCCAATGGTCAAAATTGTTTTGCTACATTTGTTTGTGAAAAACATTTTAGAAATGAAGATATTATTTATGAATATGCTAATCATCCAAATAATGTAAGCAATATTTTCATTAATAAATAATTAAATTACAAATAAAATTAAGTAGGTACTAATTACAGATGAACGGAGAAATGAAACGCACTATACCTCAATTAAGGCGTGGTGCTGTTCCATCAATTTTCTCTTCTTACATTGGTGAAGTAAGTATGATAGTCGATAGACGATAGTCATATTAAGAATGTAAAAATTGGTATATTCATCTTTATAGTTTAAATGTATTAACTAAAAATATATTAATTATTCAATTAAAAATATGATAAGGTAGGTACTACTATATTTTAAATTTCAGCCCTTAGTTATTAAAAAAAACAGACCATCATGCAGTAAACAGTTAATATGGAAAGATATTCCTGCTACTATATCTGTGAATGATGTTAGTGAAGCTATTCAGGTACATTTTTATTTAACCAACTATTAAAATAATTATAAATGGTTCTACACTTCTTTTTGCATAAATATATTTGTATTTTGCACTATAGAAATGTGAACATGTACCTGAAGTAAACACCTTTGACAATCTTTTAAATGTGTATAAACATTTGAAATTACCAATGGTTTGGTTGTCATATGGAAATGTGAAAGCAGTGACATTTTATTTATTAAGACATACATTTAATGGTGAACAACTTATTGCTACAATTGAAAAACAAATAACATTTACGTCTGAACATGAAATTGGATTTTACATAATGAACAATTATCCTATAAATTATAACAATCTTGGTTTAGGTTATAAATTGGCTTTTCCACTTAATGAAAAAAATATTGTAGAGTCAATTGAACATTTTAATAATAAAATAGTTTGCTGTGGTGGTCCTCATGCATCTAATTTTTCTGGTAGTATTTATCATTATATTTTATGATTGCCTGATAAGTTTTGTAAAATATTTACTTTTAGGTATTCAAATTAAAACTGCAACTCTAGGATTCAATAATATATGGCGCCATGTTAAATGTTCAATGATTATTGATTCTAACAAAAGATGTAAGTTTTGTGAAGGTTTATATTCAACATTTAGAGTTTATAAAAAAAGATCTTTGGAAGCAAAGTCCAAATATATAGGGCCAATTCTTACTCCAAACCGCAAAAAGAAATATTGTGACATATTAAAAAAAAAAAAAATTTACAAAAATCAAATTCTAGGTAAGTACCTAGTTGTATACTGTTTTTTATGAATCACTTTGAAATTTATTTAATAATGTAATTCTAACTTTAAAAAATGTGCAGATTGCGATTAATAGTTGAAAAAATGAATAATGAATTAAAACAAATTCACCTACAAACAAGAGAAATGAGTGATTCTTCGGTGAAATTTGTATTAAATAATTGTAAATTAGGAGAGTCACAGAAAACCATTATTCATGAGATAATTACTGCAAGTAAATCAGAAAATCCAAAATGTAGAAGGTACAGCGAAGATTGGATTTTATTATGTGTATTATTAAAAATTCGGTAAGAATCAATAAATATTGTATTTTAACACTAAGTTCAATGGATATTATCTAAAGTAAATTCAAAATTAAATTATAAATAAATAACATTTAAAAATAAATCAAATCAATCGTACACTGCATGCATGATCATACATTTTGTTTATATTATTTTATAGCTCGCCAAGTACCTATACATTTTTAAGGGAGCAGCATATTTTACCATTACCATGTATTCGTACGATAAGAAGATATCTTTCTCTTGTAAAACCACAATGTGGTTTTGATGATAAATTTTTTTTACTTTTAAAAAAGAAAATGGCTTTTTTAAGTAAAGAACAACGACACGGAATGCTCATTTATGATGAAATCATATTGCGAGAGAGCATTGATGTAGATTCAAAAACATTGACTTATACTGGAATAGAGAATTTTGGTCAAGATTTTGAAACTTCTGGTCTAAAAGCAAACTATGGACTAGTAATTATGTACCAAAGTTTATGTGCTAATTTTTCACAGCCAATAGCAGTATTTGCTTCTAGAGGACCAGTTAAAGGTGTTAATATTTTATTTTCTAGGAAATATATTTGTTATTTGTAAAAATGTAAACACATTTATGTAAGTTATGGTGTAAATTTTAACTTATGGTGTTTTTTGTGAATAAATTTGTGTTATGGTCAGTAAACAAATGTGGATAAAGTTAAGTAGCATGTTTTAGTGTTGTTGTTGTGTAGTTATTAGTTAATGTGTGGGTTGACTGGGTACTAGCCACTATAGGTATACCTACCCAACTAGTATGTATTTCTATTTTAACAAAGGGTTTCAGTTAATTATTGAAAATATATAGATAATGTGTGTTTTAATAAATTGTTTTTTTTTTTTTTTTTAGTACCTTCCTACTAAATGAAAACAAATAAACGTATATTTTATTTATCTTTATTTTAATTTTAATTTATGTGAATGTATGTTTAACTTCGTGTTTATTGTTGGTAACTGGTAAGTTTTAACAAAATGTGTACATATTTCTTGTTGTATTATATTATTTGTTTATTATTTAACTAAATGTCTTCACTCATATAGGCATAGTTCTATCTCAGTTAGTAATAAAAGCCATTAGCCTCCTTGAAAATTGTGGAGCAAAAATTGATGGAATCGTATCAGATGGGGCATCTACAAACCGTAAATTATGGGTAGAATTTGGAATAAATGGTACAATGAATGATGTGAAAAATTCATTTATTCATCCTTTAGACGACAGTAGAAAGATATACATGTTTTCAGATGCCCCACATTTAATAAAAAATGTGAGGAATCGACTAGTCAACAAAAAATCTTTAAGGGTACACTATATATTTTTTTAAGGAATAATATTATAATGTTTCAATGTCTTAACTAACATAATTTTTCTTTTCTAGATTTCTCCCGAAAAACCATATGTTAGGTGGAGTCATTTCATAGACGTCTATGAAAAGGACATTGATAGGGACTCTGCATCTCCCACAAAAATATGCCCTAAAATTACTAAGAGACATTTGTTTATTGACAGTTTTTCAAAAATGTCTGTGAGGTTAGCGGCTCAGGTAAGTATTAAGAATAATAAAATATTAATTACCTAGTTAAAGTAATTTAATTTAACAATACATTTTGGTTTAATACTTATTATAATATTTATAGGTTCTAAGTGATTCGATGGCTAAAGGTATCGCATTTTACCGAGACCATGAAGGCATTGATTCATTAAAAGATAGCCATGAAACACAACAATTTGTAGACATTTTTAATAAAACATTTGATGCACTCAATCGCAAATACCCAGCTGAAGGAATCAGAATTAATAGTCACGATTTTGATGTTTGTTTATTTATCTACAATTTAAAATTTAAAAATGTATACCTAACTGCATGATTATTCAATTATTCATAGGTATTAAATGAAACATACACTTGGATAAATGCATGGGAAAGTAATGTTAAGAATAAATTAATTCCAGAAGAGGAATATCTTACAAAAAATACAGCTGAGGGATTAAGAGTTACAATAAGATCTACCATAGAGTTATCTACATATCTTTTAAAATAATGTGGATTTAAATACGTTTTATCCTCAAAAATGAATCAAGATCGATTAGATGTAAGGGCAACTATTAAATATATAAATTACATCATTATATAATTTATTTTACCCATAGCAATTTTTTGGAATGACACGTCAAGCAACAGGACCGAATGACCATCCAACAACTCCTACATTTTTGCAAGTTTATAAAATGCTTTCTCTATATTCAATTTTAAAACCCCCAAAAACTGGAAACTGCAAAATTTTAGAAAAAAATACACCAAAAATTACAATGGATGATATAAAAAGTATTTTTGTTGAAGATAGTGTTTATATATCTGAGAAAATATTAAAATTACAAAATAAGCTGGATAGTATACTAACAGTTGAAGAGTTGGAAGTTGAAGATGTTTTTGAAAATAATATACATAATTATTGCACTCCATATAAAGCTCAAGTCTTAGATTGTGTAATATATTACATCAGTGGTTTTGTTTGTAAACATATTTTAAAACATACAAAATGTGTTGTATGTATAAATGCAATTAAAGGTTAGTAGACATTATTACGATTGTTCATTATCTAACTTAAAATAATTCAAAGTAAAAATGTACTATTCCTTTTTTATATATTAATTAGTATTAATTAAAATATTTTTAGGAAAAACGTATTCAAGCAAATCTGAAGCAGCTTTTACAAATATAAAATCAAAGGGAAAATTAATTCATCCTAATGAACATTTCTATCAACTAATTGTAGCCATAGAAAATTCTTTTTCAAAAAACTGTAACAAGTCGTCAGTATTTGAGGACACGTTTGATGATGTTCTGGATAATAGTTCCGGATTATTAATATTTCCATGTAGTGAACATAAAAATGAAATTTTAATGTTTATTCTAAAATATTATATCACAACAAGAATGCGGCAATATTGCAATATTGAAAATAACAACCAAAAAAAATTAAATTCAAAGAAAAAGAAGTCTGCCAAATTAGTTATAACTTAATAATTGCTTTTAATTTACTATTATTTTCAACAATAGGTACTTTTAAATTATATCCATATAAAGTGTATATTATGTACTTTTTTTTTTAAATTTATTTAATTTGAGTATATAAATATAAGTTTTATAAGCAAAAGTTATTAAAGAATTAATAAAAACTTAAAACAGTAATTTATTAAATATTTAAATGCATGATACAAATAACTAGTTGATAGGTAGTTATTTCTATCATGGATAGGTACAAGGATATTATTTTTATTTTTATTTTTTTAAAGGTAACGATTTACGATTAACGATGATCAGTGATGGGTCGTCTACTCGTCTCACTTCAACTAGCACGAAATACGAATGCATATTAACACTGAACAAATAACAATAAGTATCCCATAATATAATATATTAATTAATTAATATTGTATAATGTATTAATATTTCTGAGAATGGATCATAGATGGCGTTAAAATCGCGCTCGAACCAGAAGCGTTACACTGTTGTACCGTTGATAACGATCTCGTTTCCAGTCCTGTATATCTTAGTCCGTGCTGGACACACATATACAGTAATATAATATTATATTATTATGTAACTACCCGCCTTATCGCACAATGAGCAACGTTAATAAGACGGGCAGGCCGTCATTACCGCCGGTCATTAGTAAACCGTTATCGAATAAACCAAATAATAAAACTATTTCAACACAAATAAGCAAACCTAAAAATGCATATCTCTCACAACCCATTCTCCTTAGTCGTTCTAAGGTACCTAAAACCACTACTTCTACCTCCTCCCCTAGTTCTCCTACACCGACTACATCAATATTATCATCATCGGCGTCTCCTGCTTCCAGCATTATCAACAACCAAGTAATAAATACTAACAAAAACGCACAAAATGTAACCGTAATTACGCGTCCGCGGCAGCCAATGTAAACCATCCCAGCAGAGAACAAGCACTTGTGTTCAATTCAAAAGACGGTATACCCCAAAGAGATTATATTGTCGCCATAGGCAAAGTAATCCCGCCTAAAAATATTGTTTTTGTATCTCGCATATCGAATAACCGCTTTTGTATCTTTCTTTCAACCAAACTCACTTCTAGAAGCCACTCAAACGATTGCAATTAACGAGCATGTAATACAAATACGCAGACTTATTAATCCTGCTAAGAGGATAGTCATATCCAATGTCTGCCCGTCTATACCTAACCATGTGATACTTGACGCGCTCAAAAATATCAATGTTAACCCTGTATCCGAAATTTCCTACCTCAAAGCAGGCATCAACATTGAGGGCTATGAACACATCTTAAGCTTTCGCCGATAGATGTTTATTAAACATGGAGACACACCAAATCTCCCTGGATCTTTGTCACTACTTCACAATCAAACTGAATTTAGAGTATTCTTCACCGATGACAGAATCACATGCTTTTTATGCAAATCCACTGGCCACACTTCTAATACTTGCAAGAAAACAATTGTCAACCCCCGAACCTCTACCATACATAACCTACCCGATTCTGTGGAAGAACCACCCTTGGATGATCTTGCCTCATACCCCCTATGCCTGACACTATAGAAACGAATGTCACCCCTTCCCCAATAAAAAATCCTAATACCCCTTACTTACCCACCCACTCAATGGAAGGAATATCAGAAGACTACCTAGCAAACGAAACCTCTCAGCCAACCCCCATAACAGTACTGAAATAACCGAAAACCATCTCAATCTTCCCAGTGTACCACAAAAAAGGCCCCTTTCTGACGTCGCATCTCTAGCAACACCTACCTCTCCCCCTCCGGAAAACTATATATAACTTTGTAGTATACAATTTTCAATTTGTATAGCTAAGGATAGAAAATGTAAAACAAGGTTCCACTTGAGCAATTTTTTCCGTAACTAAAAAATCTAATAGTCACATAAATACAGTTATTTTTTTTACAGATATTTAATGTTCAAATATGTCCTAATTACGTATTAACACAAAAAATGACGATTTTTGTCAATAGTAAGTAATAACAATATGAAATATCCTAGGGCAGGCTACATTTGAATTCGATGATATAAAATCATAGTATACGAAAAACGGTTCTAAGACATCGCATTACTAAGAATATTAATCATATACATATATAGACAATATGATTAATTAATTGTACCTAATTACAGTCTAAGACAATAACAATTAATGCATGTGTTCAGAAGCCGTGTAATTCTGCGGGCAACTCTTTGGATCCGTTTTACCGTTGAAACCGTTTACCATCATATCAAATGTCGAGTACTTTCCACATCCACATTTATCATCTCGATCGACTAAATCTATATAACTACCTACAAATCCGTTTGCATATTTTTTGGTAAATGCACCCTACAAATTAAACAAAAATATTAAATAACTTTTATTATATTAAACATTACAAAGTATTACTTTTTTATACAGTATATCCGAGTCATCGACACACCATTTGTTTATTTTGTCATCTTCGTTTTCACAGTACTGTAAACATTTATACAAAATATTTTAATAAAATTATAGTTTTAAGTGTATAATGATTAATAGTAAAACTAGACAAAAAATATATAAATCGGTGAAAGTAAATTACCGAATGAGAAGGTACGTATTTCATATATACTAAATTTTCTGATCAAATATTTTTAAATCTGACACTGGAAAAATTCTTACTTCTTAGAAGGTAACACGATTTATTGATAAGTAAATATTAATGATCATTGGTTGACGAGGAATACCTTTCATATTTATTTAGAAAAATGAAAACTCTAAAACATGTATACATGTATAATACAGCATTACCCCGATATATTTTAATTAGTTGAGACCTGATTGTGATTTCCTCGGTACATGCAAAGTTTCACCAAGGAGGGGTAGGAAGGAAGAGATTAAGAATTAGATTTTGTATCTGTTATGCAGTGTTTAGCAGCACTATCTACGATCTTCGAGAAGGTAGAAAATGAGTCAGATAAAGGGAGATTAGTAGGTATGGATGAAATCAAATCTTGAATAATACGAGAATAAGTAGTCCAATCAGCCCTATTAAGATTAAATTTACAAAGTGACTCAGCAATAGGATTTTGAAAAGGGGCAGTCGATTGGGTACTACGGAAATGGTTACAGGCAGTTACGAACACCAGTACGGGGAAATGATCACTGCCATGACGATCATCGAGGACAAACCAAGATAAAGACCAAATGAGATTTGGAGAGCAAAAAGATAGATCAATGGCAGAAGCCGGAGAATCATGGTGCCCAACATGAGTAGGACAACCATTGTTAAGAATACAGAGACCTAGGGAACAAATTGAGTCATGAATGAAGTTGTCGCGACGTGATAACGAAAGCGAGCCTCAGGCGGGATGGAAGAAAGCATTAGTCACCACCCAGAAAGGAATAGTTGCGCCGGACGAGACCAAAAAGCGAATCCTTGACCGCAGCAGGGATATTAGAATCGCTTGGAATATATCAAGACCATATAGTTATGAATGAGGACGAGTTCATGAAGAACACCTAAGCACCGACAATATCTATTTTAAAATTTAGAAAACTATTAAGGATGGCCTCAAAAATAGTGACTGACCTTGACCTAAGAGAGTTGTGAATTAAAATTGCGGCACCACCATAGCCATCTTGGCGATCTGATCTGTAACTGGCATAATTAGGAATATTAATTGAGCGAGTAGGTAATAGCCAGGTTTCCGAAAGGAGGGCTATATAACATTTATTGCTGGAAAGTGCATAATGAAGAGTGGGAAGGCGGGCAGTTAAGCTTCTGACATTCCATTGAAGGATATTAATAGGATTGATCAAATTGATAGGACTTTGGGAGTTAGACATTAAGAGAGAACTAACTATCTTTCGTAGGAGAAACGATAAGGAGAGAGTTTAAGGTAGATTCAATTAAAGATTGGAGAGCAGAAGGAGAAAAAGGTGAAAACATCGTGGGAGAGTTTATAAGAGCATCTGCTAAAATATTGGATACGGAATGAACCAAAGAAAAATCAGTAACATTGTTACCAGGGGTCTGAGCCTGCGATGAGGAATGATTTAAATAGCTTCCGTTAGGGGGGAATAGCATGACCTAGAAAGAGGAGGGAAATTGCTTTTGGTGGGGGTACTGGACGAGATTTGGCTTTAGACTTTTTGGAGTTAAAAAAGTGATGACTGTCATTGAGATTATAGGATAATACTCTACGTACCGTTGAATTAGAGACATTAGACTGTCTAATTGTTACATCTGAATACTTAAAAGCTAAAGAAGAACATTTATTTTTTTTTAAAGGACTGCATCCTGATAAGAGATGTTTTCGATGGCCATAATCTTCTTAATTTCCTTCACAGAACACTCGTGGCACCTGCGATCAGTGGCCAATTTTGCTGAGATGACAAAATAGACAAGAAGGGTCGGTGGCAGAGACGTTGGGGCAATCGACTAAGGAGTGTTTGACGCCTCCGCAATTACTGCACCTGGGATCACTGGGACAGAATTTTTGGGTATGGCCAAAACGGAAACAACGGTTGCACTGAACTGGAGAACGAACCCTCGCAGAGACTTCAAACATCAAATTGAATACTACAGTAATGTGTTGAGGCAGTCTGGGAGAAATAAATTATAATTCAACCAGGCGAGTGGAAGTAATAATGCCATTATTCTTGACTGTAATACGTCTGAAGCTTTCATAATTACTCAGAACAACCGTGACAATAATATTACATGACTATGTCAATGAATATCGTGGCAATCTAATAAAAATTAAAAACTTATTTTTTTAAATTATTTTTTGTGTATTTAAATATTTTACTGACTGCATTGAACGCCGTTTTTCTTTATTTGAATCTCTAACGTAAAAGTACGTCTTTAAAAAAAGAAGTTTTTTCAACCAATTATTTTAATTTGATGTCATTGTATTTAACATGGGCACAGCCTCACAGCGAACGTGATTAATGGATTTAAATGATAATACTAATGGATATAATCAATACTGATGTGTATTCTATAAATGTTTTATTTATGTATACAAATTGAACGACCTTCACATTGCGGGCAAAATTACACAATGTTAAACTAGAATTACCATGACATGAAAAAGTAACAATTAAAAAAAGCAGTTTCTACTGAATTAAATAGTAATTTTTCAAGAAATAATCAATTTTGCGAAGAGGCAACGACATAATGAGTAATTCTATACACACGACAATACGTCATACACGTATTTATAACATAGTGCCTTTGTTCATCGGTATTTAAGTACCCGAAAATCTTATCTACTAGCCATTAGGTTACGCACACAACTATACAGCCAATTCACAAAATATGTATGTTTTATATTAAAATCATCCATGGTCAGTCAGTGTAAAAAGCAAGCGAGTAAAGTGTTTTGGAAATAATATTATTTTATGTCCTCAGTCCTTTAAATTGGAATTAGATTTTTGTACTGATAAAAAACTATATGAACTGCAATACTTATTTATTAAACGATGGATATTATTTTAATTTAAAATTTTTATACCTCGTTATATGATATTTCACAAGGCTTGAAATTTTCAATTTCATTAGGTTTCGGTTTAGGACTTATTAAGAATTCAAAATATATTTTATCCTTTGCAATGGTTGAATTTTCTAAAGCAGCACCAAATCGATTCTGAAAATAATCATAATATTTTTAATCTTTACTTTTTACTAATGTGGTTGATACAAATCATACTAGTGTCACTATGTCTGAATTTGATGAATCCATAGGAGTAATTCCACCATGTAATAAATCTTTAGAACAATCATTAAAATTAAGAAATTCAATTAAATAGAAGTCCATAATTGTATTCATATCTGATAAATCCATATCTAATACAAAAAAACATAACAAATTATAATACATTTGTGTTTGAATTTTTGGTTGGTTGTATAATAAAGATATCTGTTACATCTGAAAAATCCTTATAATAATTTAAAACATTTGGTGTTACTATATACTCGTATATATTTGCAATTTTAGTTCTACTGATTTGGTTTTAAATGTTCAATTCACAAGGTGATGTACATACCATTTGCATTTTCTATTAAAGATCTAGCACTCAAATACATCCCAATTTCCAAATCAGGATTAATATCTTTGAGAGCCTTTAAATACGAAACAAACCTCTGAAGGAAATCACCAACAAGTTCCTAAAGATAAATCATTATTGAGATTGGTAACTATAAAATCACAATACAAAATTTTTAACTAAATTATAAACTTATATCTAAAAATGTAAATGTATCAATGTGTGTATTGATATTTGATTATTATATTTAATGAAAGTAAATGGGTATATGTGATGATAAAGTTGCTTTATACATAGGTACATGTATTAAATGTCTTTATTACTTTGATTTTATTTACATTAAAGGATTACAGGGTAAGAGGACGAAAGCTCAATAACTTTTTTGTACAAGTCCAACGTCAACGTGTAAATTATTTATTCATTATTGGTTCAATGTATAAAACACGTTTTCATAAGAGATAACATTGATAACATTGAGAACATTACAGAGATTCCAACATAAGACAGGAATATTCAATTCATGTCTCAGTGCAAGGAAAATCCCAAAGCAATGGGAGCGCGATCAGTTAGTACTTAGTACTCCTCTGAATAAACCTGAAGCACGAAGGGATTCCCTCTTCGTGCAGACCACTGTGTCAGCTGAACTACGTTGAGGAAATCGTGTAATCTCCCAATCAACAGGTTGGATAAACACATAACATACATTTGGAGCACTTTTAGAACAGACAGTTTGTTAGTGAAGCTTGCAGAGCAGTTTAAGTAGTTCGACAAAGACAAATATGTCACATTATGCTAGAACCAGCGGTGAATTGGCTAGCCGTTCAGTAGTTTTCCGATGATGAACTAACCCAGAAGGAATAAAACGAAAGACAGCATCGAGAAGTGGAACTAATCAATCTCAAAACATTTATCTATAAGCTTCGAAGTCTACTGCAACATAATAAACAATATTATATTGCATAATAAATAAATAATAAATGCACACCCTTCCTAGAAGTTGTGTCCAAAGTACTGAATCTAAAATGCCAAATCAAATATTATTTTTAATATATTACAATTTTCTCAATGATAAAGTATATGATTCTATTTAGTCATAGTATATTTATTATGAATGTACATTTAGTAGATGCCTAAATAAAATTATTCATAATATGGGTATGTACTGTACTTACTTTTATAGCAGGTTCAATTCCATGCAAAATCAACCCTTTAACTGGATAATCGCGAATAAAATTTTGCATCTGTTGAGCAATTTCTGCAAATTTCCCTTCATAAAGTAGAGAATAAAACTCGTCTACAGATGAATGTGAATAAAATAAGAACACATGGTGTGCCCTATTCTCGTAGTCTATGAGTGATCTTAAACGTTCTGTACAAAATATCATAAATAAACTTCAAATACTGTGGATCATAATTATATTGTTTATTTTATTGTCAATTAGTAGGCTCAAGTTAAACTAAATTTTTCTGTAAACTTATGACTTTATGTTATTATTTGGTCTTTTCAAGTAAATCTAATTATTATTATATTACATCATGAAATTATTTTATACATATTTAAACAAACAATAACGATAAAGGTTGTTATTTTGTTTTACTTCAAAAATATTTTCATGATGATTTAAAATATTAAACTTTATATTGGTACCAATTGCATTTTCAAAACATTGAGACTCATTTAATAACATAATTGAATATTTATTAAACAAACCAATGCACACCGTCATTTTTGTTAATTATGAGTCAATACCGACTGACACATTAAAAAATATCAATATTATGACGTGATATTCACTTTGTACGGCCAACGAATGAAAGTGCGAAACGCGGACTTTTGTACGGCCTGGTAAAAAGGAAGGTACATTGCAGAACGTTCATACTTTGTACTGTTATATACATAAAGTATAAATTATAAATCTAAGTTATATACCTAAGTAGTAAGTAAAACCAAACTTTATATTATAACGAAACATCAATCCATAAAATATTTTACTATACCTAAAATAAATAATTTAGATAAACTTGTAATACAATCGTAATTTATACACGTATATTCGTACAATTGTACATTACATGGATTTTAAAAGGCCTAACACAAATGTCACAAAAAAAAATAATGTTGTATTATATGTAAGTAATAGTACCTATGCTGTTTATGAAATATATGTACTTAATATTATGTAATATTTTTATATAACAATAACAATATATATCCACAATAGTTAAAATAATATACACAGTTAAGAATAAAAAATTAAATATTTCAACGATGAACGCAAATGATAAGTATTTAACGTAGGTATCTCGATTGTGAAATACACTATGTGTATATATAATGATAAACTATTATCGATGTATAATATGTACCCATGATTTTAACAAATAATATTTATGATTTTTTTATAAAATGGTTCACATAATATAACATATAGTATTATTTACTTACTAACTTAGGTAAACCACTAATAATTACAATATGCACCTTACGTATATAATAACACAAAGTGTCGGCTTCTGCAATGTACCATTTTACCTGAACGTACAAAGTGTCCGCGTTATGCATTTTTAACAATTTACAGTACAAAGTGACAGTTTACCGCATGTGGTGGTACCTCATTATTATAACGATATAAAATACCCATAAAGATAAATTTCATCAGTTTACTAGGAACATAATAGTATAACAGGAAAAATATTATGACGTATACCTTATTATAAATAATGAAATTATAACTAAATTACTAAAATAGTAACTAAAATCATAAATTCTACACTTCAAACATATTCAAACTTTATTTTTGAATATACCAATTTTATAATAAAAAATACATTGTAATAAAAATATTAATATTTATTTATTATCTATATTAATATTTGTTTTTTACCTAATCCGTACTTCGGGTCGCTTGGCTTGATATTATAGTTATATACAATTCCAAGATAAACAAAAGATGAGCAATGTTTTGGAAGTTTTTCTATCTTCACTACATCTTCGTGACATTTTTTACCATCTTCTTCCATTTCGCCTAAATACCTACATGATGAAATGCCAAGTTCTAAAAATACAAAAAAATATATATTATCATACTTTCATACTTATCTAAAAAAAACACCAACAAACATAACTAAATACTACTAAAAAGGATCTTCTCATAATGCTGGAAAGGGGAGGTTTTGCCCAACACGGGAATATGAGAAATCGAATGAATATCGAATGTCGTAAAATTTTGAACTTCAATAAAAGTCGAATTTGACATTCCGGTAGACATTTATTTTCTGATAAAGTTAGACAAACCTATGAAGTATCTTGTATTCAATATTCAAATTTTAGATTTAAAACGAAATATTTTGTCAAATTTCGAACTTTAAATGGCTATGAAAAAAAATTGTGACCATGTTAATTGAACATTTTTCAACCGATATTGTAAAAATAAATTAAGCGTCTTTGTATGAAATGTACAACATTTTTGACCCAACAAATACAATTTTATCGACAAAAATTAAAAGAAAACTAACAAAACACGAAATTTTCTTATGCGTATAAATATTTTAAAAGAGACTCAATATTTCAAAAATGTTATGATGCGTAGAATTTGGTAATATAAACGTTTAAAATTTACCCACAAAAGCTCATTAGGTATTTTAAATTACCGAAATACATTTCAACTTTTACCGTCCTACATATTCGATTTTACACAATTGCATTTTGGGTGGCATTTTAATCATAGTCGATAGTTCAAGACACGAAAAGTGGCTGGTGACCCACGCACGACACACGCGCAATACCCAACACATTACACATTGGTTCACTGACTGTATAGTTTCCTATAGTATTCTCTTGACATTGCACAGTAAAGTTGAACCACACATCGTTCTAGTTGTCATCATTTTTTTTTTCATTTGACAAGTAAAAAACACAAAAAATACAATACCTAACGAATACTTGTAGGTTCCTGTTACATATGAGTATTCTTTTATTTTCATTTGATCTTTCTTATTTTTCATTATGTAATTAAGAATATAATTTTAGTTAGTTTTAATTTACCAGATGCTGAAGTCAGGCTGACCAAAATGCATAGATGTAATGAAACAATACAAATATTAACCGCTACTAAACTATTCATTTTATTATTAAAAATGCAAAATACAATGTTATGGTGAAATAAAATACATTAAAACTTATTCAAGATATACATGCATGTTTAAAATAGTTTTTAGTTATATAGGTACATTTTTGGTATTTGAGTAATATACATTTAACTAGCGATCGCAATTGTGTACATAATTACATATTTAGAAAAATAAATAATGACTATTTGTTACTATGATAATTTATTAATCCCATAACCCTCTCTTTATTTTGAACATCTCATCAATTTTACTGTTAATTGAGCGTTGAAAGTATGAATTAATTATGCGTGACATCAAAAGTTTCAAAACTGCCTGTGGCCTCCGTTTGTCATCATCATTATCACTCGTAAAACCCCTTCTCGAATTCTGTGTGGTTGTTTGGCACCCAAATAAATATATAAAATAATAATTCACAGTTTTCCATAAAAATATTTATAATGATCAACAATAATAGATACATTATTTTATATTTTATATACCTATAGATTTAATGTATATATATTATACTAGCTAAATTACCCGGCTTCGCCCGTGTGTATTTTTGTTTTTTATCATATTTACAATATATCCCTATAACTTCTCAGAACAATGCTTATCAACATGAAGGACAAAAATGATAAGTTGCAGATAGCTAGAAGATCGCGGGCAGCCGTGCCGCACGGGTACAACACGATTGCGAACGTTTTACCCTTTTTATAACACGATTGCGAACGAATGACGCTTATCAGAGAATTTGTTTTTTTAGCCGAAAAACGAACGATTGCGAACGTTTTCATAGACTACGTTGCCTAGTTTATATTTCTGAATATTATGTTTTGTTCTAATCTATCGTCGGCTTTTCTCTTACAATTCTCTCTTCTTGATACGTATTGTTTTCGATATCCTCTAGGTATATATGATTGTATACATTAATAGAGCATAAAACACAGTATTATTCAGAAATGTTTGAATATGAATATTGAATAACCTATATATTATTTGTATTAGGTATATCAAAAAATAAATATCATAACGATTAACAAATTATAGTGTCAAAAATACCCAATTATACATACTCATTACTTACTATTTATACAATATGCAATATGTCTATAATTTAACAGCGAGAATGTTACATGATAAACAGGTACCTGTAAATCAAAACGTAACAATAATCGAATGTAATAATTAATAATTACAATATTCAAGGTAGTAATAAAAATGTCAAAAAACACAGATAATTTTACAAATTGATTAAATAAATCAGTTTATAATTTTTGAATAATGAAAGACACATTGACTTGAATTTATTGGATGCATTCTGCGTTTTTGCATGTATTTTTGTTCAAAATAAAATTTTTAAATAATACCATGTATTTGTACATAATATTATTTCCGGTGTAACACCCCCATGCAGTGTGTATTTAAAAATTAATGTATTATAATATCCTTACTAATATCCAAATGCGAAAGTAACTCTGACTGCCGGTAGTCTTTTACTCCTAAACCACTGAACCGATTTTGATAAAATTTGGTACACAGATAGATTAGTCCTTGGGAAAGAACATAGTCTAACTTTTGAAGCCTTTTACATCAAAATCGGTTCAGCGGCTTAGACGAGAATGCTTTAGAGACAGAGAAAGTTACCAAATAATCTCTTATAAATAAAAAAAACAAAGATGTTCAGAGACATGTGAGGCAAGAGATGACAATCATTTGGATGTAACTCTAAAAGGGGCTAACAATGTAGATCAGTGTCAAAAGTAAGACGGGTTTTCACTATGTTAATAACGACATGTAAGGAATGCGGATCAAGATTATAAAAGTCATAGGACAAGAGACCTATATAAGAAGATTTCCTCTCTTAGCAAGGATTTTAAGCCAAAAAAAAATTTCTTGAGGAACGAAAATGATACTTTACTAACGAGTAAAAATGACAGAGTCGAGGAATAGGAACAATACTTCGACCGACCAGCTACTGAACTGCAAAGAACCCGTTAATCAATTCTTTTTGAGTTTTCGAGACTAAAGAACCGAAGAGAGAAGAACATATCGAACCAACAGTAGAAAAAATTTTGAACCACATTAACACTCGAAATAGAAACAGCTAATCTATCGAAATATATACATCAACTAGTAAGTTTAATATGGCAAAAAGAGAAAATACTAAATAAATGGAAGACAGCTTTAGTCTATGCCATCCACAAGAAAGGGGATAAACAAATATGCAACATTACAGAGGGATTGATTTGCTTAATGTTACTTATAAGATATTATTGTATTGTATACTAAATACGGTATATTATGTTGCGAGTTTGCGACGTACCATCATATGATACGCATAAAAGTATTTGCATGACACTTTTTTATTCTTTATTAGTTGTTTTGTAACTGGATTTGTCTGAGGAATATCAAAACTGCACCCCTTCTGTCCTTTCCAAAAAAATTATGGGGTACTCGAGAGCATCATAAAATCTATTAGTGACCCGAACTCTAGTGAGCCGGCTATTGTGCGCCTGATTAACAATGTCCCGAGACGCAGTTTGTTCACTACTAACTACTAGTAGGTAGCTATTTCGTTTGTTGTCGGGGCATTGAATCGTCTTTCGTGTTCACTCCGATTCGGGCTGAACTCCTTTCGCCCAAAAATGACCTTCCTCTTTTTTCCCACGTCCTCTTTTCGACCAAAAATGAAAAAATAGTTTCCTCTTTTCGCCTACAAATAATTATATTCTTTTCGCCCACGGTTTCACGTTTTACATTTTGGAAACCACTTTCTCGAAATGTCTCGACTGACTATATTAATAACAATCAAAAACCCTCAGGCCGATAACAATATCTGGATTGCAAATATAATTGATATATACACATATATATAATATAATTTAACGAATTTGATATCGATACGTAACACTCGTAACAGCTTTAATTTTAGTATGTCGTTCACTTTTGTGCCGAATAGTGTGATTGTGTTTTTTCTCGTGATTATAGTGACTACATTTTATAAAAATGTAATTTTTAAAAAGTAAAAGAGGTGTTCGTATAGTTCTTTACAATAATTTTAAGTACAATTTTGGATCGACTAATAAAAAAGACGAAAGTATATTCCCACCAAAGATTTGGGCAGCTAAATCATCAGAGTTAATCAGGACAACAAATGCATGCGAGTCCTTTCACTCATTTTTTAACAAAAGTTTTTATAGTAATTCTCCACCAAATCATATGTGGCTGTCTGTGGTACAAGAAATCCAAACTGATGTTTATATTAAATTAAATAGTATCCACTTACAACACCTTTCCAAAGACAGAAAAGTAAAAGAACGCCAATTAAAAAACGAAGAAACAATTGAAAAGTACAATAGAGGAGAGTTAAGTCGGTACGAGTTCATTAAATCAATGGCATTCAACGATACAAAAAATGTAAATACAAATTAAATCCATGTATAACTTTTTTTTAACGACGTCATAAAAATAAATGACAAATACCTAAAATATTATTTTTTATTAAAGAACTAGTGATTACTATTTTTTATTTGATTATTATTACATGATTTTTTTTAAAATTATTAATTTTGATTGTTATTAATATGGTCAGTCGAGACATTTTGAGACAGTGGTTTCCAAAATATAAAACGTGAAACCGTGGGCGAAAAGAATATAATTATTTGTAGGCGAAAAGAGGAAACTATTTTTTCATTTTTGGGCGAAAGGAGTAACGCCCGATTCCCCATCACCCGTCGCACGTAATTATACGTGCTCGCACTTTTAAGTGCATAATTGGATTGCGCAGACTATTATCATCATTATCGCCATCATTCGTCGTGGGATTCCGCCACCAACTGTGACCAGGCACCAGCGGTATCGTTGTATATGATTCCTTATTTTTGTGTTTATACGTCATATTAATTTGCATATTGCGCCTTTTATTGTAATTATTGTAGTATTAACAATCGTCCGAAGAGACGTCTTCGGCGTTGTACCTTGTATCATGTCCTATTAGTGTTAGTTGACTGTTTATTATATTGTATTTACTTTTATACCATATTTATTGTTTTTTAATATTATAGCTCTGATCTGTTTTTTTATTGGTGAGCGACACCTTGCTTTGTTTTTTTATAACATTTGAACTTAGAGTGAGAAGAACTGGTATGTGGTCCGACGTTAATTCTATGAGATCTATTATTTCGACGTAATTAGAGGATATACCTTTCATTACAAAGAAATCTAATAAATCCGGAATCTTATACTGGTCAGTTAGCCAATACGTTGCTATTCTTGTGGAAATGATTTCAGCATTGATATTGTTTGCAGCTTTTAATAGAGCGCGTCCTTTTGGGGTGATAAGTCTCGAACCCCAATGAGTATGTTTGGAATTATAGTCTCCTCCAGCTATGAATCTAGCGCCCAAAGTATGGAAAAATTCAGTAAACTTAATTTCATCTGCACCCCCTTGCGGTGGACAGTAAATTGCAGTGACTAACTTTATACCGTCATTTACGACAACGCTGGTAGCTTGAATATGGTTTTCAGAGTATTTGTCATGCTCATGATGCTTTATATAGACTCTTTTATTATTACATCTGAGCCTCCTCGAGCTTTACCACTGGGATGTAATGTAATATATGTTTAGTAGTTTCTAATCTTCAGAAAGGTCCGCGCTGTAAAGTGGATTTCTGATACAAGATCTATATCGATGTTATCTCTATGTAAGAGGTCTTCAAGTTCCTGTTTGCGCTGTACTAACCCATTGGCGTTCCAAGTTATGATCCGAAGTGTAGGGATCATTTATTTTTCAGTTTGGCATTTTTTGACTTGTTATGTATTGTTTCTAACTTGTCCATTCTCGCTGTGATATTTGCTAGTGTTTGTGTTACATTGGTTAACGCAACTAATATATCATTGAGCCTAGGTTCATTGTTTTCCTTAGGTTGTTGTACAGACACTTGAGGTTCAATTTGGTTATCTTTTGAAGTACTTGGATTACTAGCCATCTGCGCATATGAAATGTTTGTTGTCACAGGCTGAGCTGGTTTCTGTATTATCCTTTGTATAGCAGTGACTTTTTTGGGGTGTGCTTTTTCTGTTGCTTTTTTATAAGCAGAGCATCC